TGGGGGCTGACCCTTGCCTGGCTGACTGCTGGCTGGGTAACGGCCCCATTCCTGTCCCTTATGCACACGTCCCACGTGCTGGGCCCCTTGGCTGCTTCACTCCTAGTTCTCATCCGGGTCACCCCCACTTATTTCCTGGGCATCCCCGTATGCCAAGGCACTCTGTGAAAAGCGTTTGCAGCCCCTGAGGTCAGCAGGGTTTTCTTAGGGTGAAAGTCAGGCTGGCTCAGCCCTGCCCCCCTGTCCGGCCCCCTCTGCCCTTCAGCACCACTAGTGTGTGGGTGACTGAGAAGCTCCTGCCCCTGTCTGGGCCTCAGTTTCTGTCTGCTTATCTGTGGATGTGTGGTGTTGAAGGGTTGGGTAGGACTAGGGGGCCTGGTGCCTTTAGCTGACTGTTACTCATTCCTAACACCTGTGCCCATCAAGTGCCTGCTGTGTGCTCGGCGGGCTCAGCAGGGGAGCTGCCGGGCAGTGACTCGGAGTGCCAGGTTCAGTGTGACTAGGGCCGCCTACACCGAAGCTTTGCGGGTTGCCCAGAGGGAGGGAGAGGGCTCTGTGCCCAGGGAAGGCTGCCTGGAGGGGGGGCCTTAAGCATTCCACTGGGGGCAGCGGGAGTGGCAAGAGCTTCCTGGTGGAGGCAGGCATTTGGAGTGGGGGTGAGACTGGGCAGGGCAATGATTTGCCGCCTGAACTGGGGAGTCCTGGGGCTTGAGGCTGGGGCAGAACTGAGAGTGAGGCCTGGGGTCTGTGAATTATGTTCCCCCCTCTCCTTGTTTGGTGGCCTCCCCACACCCCCATGCCCCAAGCTTGGGTGGGAGGACAACCTTTCTCCCCACCTGCTCCAGCCACCTCTGCCTGGCACCCCGGGGAGCCCTGGGGCCCTGCAGAGGCAGCTGGGTTAGGGGAGGAAGCAGGTTTTTTCCACTGGGCACGGCTGAACGAAACAGGGAAGTGGAAGGGCAGGTGCCAGCTGCATGCCCCTCCCCCTCCCCTCCCCCCTCCTTCTCCACCAGCACAGGAGCCCACTCCCCAGGGGTGGAGACTGAGGCTCCGTTGCTATGGTGACGTGCAAGGCCGAGCAGCTGCTAAGAGGACAGGGCAGGGCTTGGCACCCAGGCTGTCCAGCCTCAAAGCCCATGTCTGGCCAGGGCACACGGGGTGGAGTGGGGGTAAAAAGTGGGCGATACTGCCCTGTATAGGAGGGCGGTGGCACTGGAATGATCCCGGGTGGTGGCAAAGGCAGATACATGGACGTTAACCCCAATTATGGGCTAAAGTATTTAATTGCTACGGGGGCACGGAGTACTTTTTTTTTTTTTTCCTAAAAAGGGGCATAGATCTGTTTGGGACTCTATGGTGGGGATCTTCCTCCCGGGGAGGTGGGGAGTGAGGTTGCAGACTCCACTCTCCCTGGGGAGCCCCTTCCCTGGTACCTGGTGGGCTGTCCTGGATAAAGCCCAGCCTTGTATCCACTCCTGGGTCTCAGGACCGGACACTCCTCATCTGCATCCAGTAGACTGTGGTTCGGGGGGAGGAGGGGCCCAGGCCTGCGGGGTGTGTGTGTGTGTGTGTGTGTGTGTGTGTGCTGGGGTGGGGATAGGGTGTTGGACCTGACTGGACACCTAGGGACAGCAACAGTAGCCACAACCTCTCAGCCCTCTGGGTTGGGACAGCCCGGGGAAGTCGGCAGACGCTGCTTGGGACGCTCCCCTGCCCTTAGCCCAGAGCCACTGCCACATGGTGGCGGCTGGAGGAGGACAGGGTGTCGGCGCCCAAGCATGGTGTACTTTCCGGGGGCTCACGGAGGGCATGCCTGCCTTCCTTACACCCCACATTTTCCAGAGGACGGAGGGGGAGACTGAGGCATAGCCTGAGTGTGCCACTTGCTCAAAGGCACACAGCTAAGATGTGGCCCATCCATGATTCGAACCCAAATTCAGACCCAACCCATTGGCATCGGGTCGGTTTCGACTCCATGGACCCTTTAGGGCAGAGCAGAACTGCCCTCGTGGGGTGGGTTCCAAGGCTTGGCATCTTTCTAGGAGCAGACAGCCTCTTCTCTCTCCCGGGGAATAGCTGGTAGGTTCAAACTACTGATCTTGTGGCTAGCAGCCGCCCATTGTGCCGCAAGGGGTCCAGATTTGAACCCAGGGAGCCCGGATTCAGTAGGCAAGCTCTTGACCACTAGGCTTCAGCTTGTAGCTGGCACTTTATAGAGCCTGTTCTGTCCACCGTGTGAGGAGCCCCTGTGACATGGTGGTCATGCCTTGGGCTGCTTGGCACAAAGTCAGCAGTTCAAAGCCACCAGCGGCTCCCTGGGAGAAAGACGAGGCTTTCTACTGCCATAAAGCATTTAGGTCTCAGAAACCCACGGGGGCCAGTTCTACCCGGTCCTGCAGGGTCACCGTGTGCGACATCTGCTCTGTGGCAGTGGAGTGTGGTGTAGCCTTCCGTCCACATGTTGTCCCTTAGGCAACCATGGTGGAGAAGTGGTTTGTGGGGTTAGGTGCTACCATGTCCATTTCCTGGCCTCCCCCCACCCCCATCCCCAGAGTGTGTTCCTGCGTTATGGACGCAGGTTGCCAGGCCTTTCTTCCTTGGCACTACCAGATGGACTTGAATGACCCTTTCTTCTGAGGAGCCCGGTGAGTCATGCTTGTGGTGCCAGGGATCTTTGGGGGGAAAGCCAGGGTCGCGATTTCCACTTGGGGAACCCTTGGATCCAGAACAGAAAGGTAACTTGATCTGATCTCTTTTTAGCAGATTCCCTTCCCTTGTCCACCCAGACTTTATGGGGAGATTCCCTTCCCTTGCTCCACCCTCCCACACCTCAGCGCTGGCTCCCCATAGGTCGTCATAAATGCAGCTTCTTCATTCATACCTGCTGTTGCCCCTCTCCGTGCCCTGACCAGGGTTATCCTTGAATTCACCCCAAGACCCTTCCAAACCGAGCCCACACTCACCGGTTTGTGATTCATCCCCACCTTACACGGCCCGTAGAACTGCCCGTTGACGTTTCCAAGGCTTTAAAAATCTCTATAGGAGCAGACAGCCTCATCTTTCTCCTGTGGAGTGACTGCTGGGCGTGAACCGATGACGTCGTTGGCAGCTCAGTCATGACACTATGCCTTCAAGCTCTCTAGTAGATGAGAACTGCCGCTTCGGTTCTCAGATGGAGAAACAGACTCGAAGCCATCAGGTTGATTTGCCCCACCTTGCAGAGCCAGGGAGGGGCAGAATAAGACTGAACCAGGCAGCACCCCAGCTCGGCTTTCACAGACCAGGGCACCTGTCAGAGTGGCTGCAGCCAAACTGACCCCATGAAGTGTTGACAAGGAAGTGGAGGAACGGGAATGCCCAGCCACGGCCGGGGGTGGGGGGTGGGGGCGGGTGCCAGATGGTACAGTTGCTCTGGCAGCCAGTCCTCCTGTCACGTTGTTGTCCGACTCACAGCACCCCTCGTACAACACACGGGAACACTGCCGGGGCCTGCACTGTCCTCGCCGTTGTTCTCAGGTCTGAGCCGATTGATTGCGGTTGCAGACACTGTCCAGGCACCCCGTGGGGGGTCTTCCTCATGTTCCGTGCCCTCCTCCTCTACCAAGCACGGTGTCCCAGCATTCCCTCTCCTGGGTAGGATTGCCTTAGGGAAAGGAAGACTTAGAAACACCCGTGTTTCTAGCAGCTGTGTGCAGAACTGCCCCAAGCAAACTCCTGACGCACAGGCCCAGTCGGAAGGCTTTCAAAGGCCTTGGGATGGGTGCGCGCAGTCTCTATTAAACCACTTCATTTACATAACATTTTTGAAAGAAAATAAAGATTCTCAGAGTCACAGGCACGGGTCAACCAGGGGCTTGCGGGGCGAGTGTTTGGGGGGCTGGCGGAACTGCTCTGTAGGGTACTTTGGACGTGACCCTGACTTGAATCTGGTGGGGCTGTGGCTTAGGCTCAGCTGCTCCTTGGGAAAATGACAGCCGTCTCACAAACCCTTTAGTTAGTGACCATGGGTTGGAGTTGACTTGATGGCAGTGGGTGTGTGTGGTTGTTTTTTAAAATTTTCATTGTTGTTTGTTCTAAATACCCGAGACTGAATTCATAGAACTGGAAACCAAAATAAGCCCAGTTTACTGTATGCAAATTAAAACATCAAAAGCTAGAGGGGACTCCTGGAGAGGAAGGGGGCGGGTGGCAGGGCCTCTGGCTCCCTGGCTGCTGGTCTGGAGGGGAGGGTGGGGAGGCTTCCTGTGGCTCTCAGCAGCTGCATGCTGGCATTTGTGGGTGGGCAGCAGTGGGACGGTGGCGGCTAATGAGAGCTTCTGTTTGGACTCTGGAGAAGGGGGTGGCAAGCAGCTGAGGTGTTGTGACGGCTCCCCCAGGCCCTGGCAGAGGCGGTTAAACCCTGGCTGTGGGCAGAGCCCCACCTACCCTCACGCCTAGCATCCCTGGCTACAGGGTGCCCCAAGGGGAGGGCATCAGCAGTGGTGCTGATTGGGTGCCTCTGTGCTGCCATTGAGGGACTTCAGGACCCCTCAGGGTTGTGAGGGAGGGCAGCGGTCAACTTTCCCATTTTCCACATGGGGAAGTAAGGTCAGGGCGAGTAGGGTTGGCCACAGCGGGGCCATTTGCAGGACTGCATAGTCACTAGACCCAACCGGACTCGTGACCTCTAATGTAAACTGGGTCCTCTTCCACAGTTTAGCGAACGCTTCCTCATGTGTTTTGCAGGGAGCTGCTGGTGTAGTGGTTATGAGTTGGGCCTCTAACCATGAGGTCAGCAGTTGGAAACCACCAGCCACTCTGTGGAAGAAAGAGGAGGCTTTCTACTCCTGTAAAGACGTACAGTCTCAGAAACCCTCCGGGGCAGTACTACCCAGTGCTATAGGGTCGCTGTGAGTCAGCATGGACCAGTGGTCTGGTCGGATTCATAGTGAGCCTACAGGACCGGTGGAGCTGGCCCAGGGAGTTTCCCAGGCTGCAATCTTCCAGAGCAGATGGCCAGGGACCGCTGTCCCTTTGCTGGAGTTTCTGTGTGGGGTTGAACCTTGAACCAGCCCTTTACTGCCTGGATCCTCAACCCAAGTCTGGAGCGGTGGGGTGCTCTGCTAGCAGGGTGGCTGCCCGCCTTCTGCTCTGCCCACCTTTCCTGACTGTACATCCATCTCGCAGAGATTTTGTCCGGATTGAAGACAAGGCTCTCCGCCTCACCTCTCCATCTCCCGTGCCGGAGTCGGGACCTGACACGGTAGGTGTTCCTGACCTGGGGGGCTGCCAGCATGGGCCCCTCACTGGCAGGTGACGTGGGTTATCAGCAAGGGAGGGGACCGGGCTCGGGAAGGCCATCTGGACTGCCCACGGCCTGTAGCCCTCAGGGCCACCTTCCATCCTGCTGAGCTCAGCCAGGGCCCATCCCTCCCCCTTCTTTCTGGCAGGTTGAAGAAAGGTGTCTGGGAGTTGGGAGGGGGAGGGGGAGGAGGGCCTTCTGGGTGGCAGGGGCCAGTATCTAGGCTCAAGTTCAGTGGGGGGCCTGGACTTCAGAACTAGACACCCCTCTCTCCTGGGTCCCAGTCTGGGTACATTTGTTCCACTCTGAGCCCTGGCTGACCCAGGCCGTAGTGACCACACCCTGTCCTGTTTCCGACTCCCCCACGGTCCTTCCAGCTGTCACCCACAGTTGGATAGGCCTTGGGTGTCCCTGCCCCGATCCGTTTACCAGATGAGGACGCTGCAGCAGGACAGGGCACTCAGCAGGGTGGAGACAGACCTGAGTGCTCAGTCTGAGTCCTTGGATGCCCACCTGCCCCCTATCCCTCACCAGGACCCCGGCTGAGGAAAAGCCCCAGTAGGCCCTGTGGTGGACTCTGGCTTCTCCTGGCTATTAAGACCCTCACTCCTGAGGGCTAGGAGCGGGGCAGGACCAGTGGTCTGAGGCCGGCGCCTCCCCCCAGCTTCTCTGGACAAGATGGCGGCCAAGCAGCCCCCACCCCTGATGAAGAAGCACAGCCAGACGGACCTTGTGAGCCGCCTGAAGACGCGGAAGATCCTGGGCGTGGGCGGGGAGGACGACGATGGTGAGGTGCACCGCTCCAAGGTGGGCCCCCTGGAGGACGGGTCAGCTCCAGCCCCCAGCAGGGGAGCCGGCCCAGCCACAGCCAGCAGGACTGGGGGAGTCGCTGGGCCTGTATCGCTGTAGGAGCCTGGGGATGGGGTTCCTTTTCCTAGAAACCTAGCCGGGGGAGTAGCATTTGGAATGGAAACCCAAGATCATTAGAAAATTAATTAAGTGCTTTCCCAGCATCATGCCGAGGGTTTGCCCAGCACGGCAGGGCCGCCATCTCTTTTCTTGGGAAGTGTGGATACAAGCTTGTGCCCCATTTCGGAGATGAAGAAACGGAGGCTCAGAGAAGTGGGAGGTGGGGGGGCCTTGCCTACAGCCACGCCAGTTAGCTGGCAGAGCCTCTAGCCACCTTGAAACTAAAGGGTTAGAGAGAGCCAAGAGATGGGGTGACCGAGGTGTGAATCCAGCTGAGACATGCCAGGTGTGGGTGGGGGTGGGGTGGGGGGCGCAGAGGCTGTGAGTGGGCAGGGCAGATGAGGCTGAGTCCGGCTCCTCTGTGTCCACAGATCAGTCAAGTCTTGGGCAATGAAATAAAATTTACAGTCCGGGAGCCTCTGGGGCTCAGGTGAGCGCTTGTGTATGTTTGGGGGCTCCCTGAGGTGGTGGTGGGCGGGGGATGGAAGCTGCAGAATAAATACCCTGCTGATTCTGCCTTGTGCCTGGGTGGTCTGGCCTCTTCATTCCATCCTGTCTCTGGGGCACTTGGTTGGAGCAGGTCAGGTCCTTGGGGCGGGCTTGGGTGGCATCGCAAGGCCTGGCTGTGACCCTCCTCTCCTGCCCCCCCC